GAAGTACATTACTTGTGACTCAGTGATTTAGATACTCTCCCCCCTGCCCCATCCCCRCTTTCTTAAGTGCCACAGTTGACAAACAGGTTTGGGAACTTAAAGTGGAGAATGGACATCCTCAATCCAGAAGTGCACTGGCTTAACATATTACTTCCGACACCACTTGGGTACAAGAGAATCCTGGGTGAATCCCACTGGAATTCACACTAATACCCTTGGGCTACAGAAAACCACAAAGCAATCAGCTCCTCAGAAATAAAATGACTTTATTTCAGCTAAGGGTTCACATGAGAAACTCCAAGAGGCACATCCATTTCATCCCAGTAGAGAGCATTTCAGAATCCCTTTGTCTTAATCTCTGTATATTGTCTCATATGTCACTGGCTGCACACCAAACTTCAAGGTGACTAGCAGGATCAGGCGCACAGTGGGCACATAATATCTGCAGATGGAATAAGCAATCAAATCAAAGGATCAAAGTGACTGTAAATAAAGTAAGGAGTTAACTCGTCATGCATTGCTCAACCAGCTTTGACACCAGAACAAGCCCTTCTTAGCAAAACAGTCGCATGATTTGGCCTATGATGCAATCCAGGCAGTAAACATTCACTTTGGGCAAAACCAAAAGTTAGAAGATGGCACTCACTTACCAACACAGAGGAAAATGAGAAGCACCACCCCCTCTCCCCCTTCTATTCTTCCACTAGAAGTYTACCTGTGCTCTTGTGCCAAGCTCCTTTATCTATCAGGCACTGGAGTGTCAAGGATGAATAAACCCACTCACAGCCTCTCATCACAATTTAGAGGTGGGGGGCAGGAATYGAAACAGACTTCCTGAAGGATAAGAACTACATAGACTAAAAGCACAAAGCAGCAGGACCACCAATCAGGGAAGTTTATGGCTATAGGGTCATTTTCAAGTACCTGCCTATTCTGTCCTCTCAGATTGCTCTAATGAAAAGCCTGGTGGACACACTGCATGTCTCAGAAAGTTAGTTTAATGGACATGTTAGCCATTCATTCCACTAGGTTTTCTGCACTGAGGATCATCGCCAGAATCTCCATCACTGGATCACAGGAGCTTGGGCCCCAGASATAATTCATATCAGGTTACTTTTCTTCACTGAGCCTTCTGAATTTTTTTTTCTCCCTCTTGAGGACTGGTAAAAGACATGACCGTATAACTTTACTTCATTTTCTGTAGAATCCAAGTTGAAGCACTGTCCATGGCATAGCTTATCTTTCATATGAATATATTCTAGTTGCCAGGCACCATGGTGAGCACTCTACATATTATCTGATCTATACTAACAACTTACCTGTATGCCCTCCAGATCTCTCTTTCTCTCTCTCTCTCTCTCTCTCTCTCTCTCTCTCTCTCTCTTTTCCTATTAACTTGGCTGTTACAAAGCTCGGAGATAAAGTAAATAAAGCAGGAAACACTTAGGATGTTAGTTTATCTTTCCTTCCCATTTTTAACAGTCTCGTTATTTTGTGGAATCTTTACTATGCATTTACTCAGACACATTTCTGAAAGTCGATTCTCTATAAACAAAAACAAATTACCATAATCATCGATTGCAATTTCCTCTTATTCCCAATTGGCAAGAATTTCCATGAATAATTAATTTGAAGATGATCCCTTGGCTATCGCATTCTGGTCACTTGAAAGCTCACATAATGCAGTACTTTGCACCATCATCTGATTCAGAATATGTGTATGAAAGTGCAACGGGGGGGGGGGGAAGAGAAGAGGTTGGCTGACTTGAGTTACAACATAGAGTAATCATCAGGTTATTTCCAAATCTATTACCAAGGAATATATCTATCTTGTGTTGGAACTTGCCAGTCCCATTCCCCTTTCCCTCCCAAGCTACCATTTTTACAGCCTAAACTATATCACCACACGCCCTTGGTCCTCTTAGGACTGCCAAGGCCAAAGGCACTGCCAAGACCTGCTGAGTGAGAAGTCGCTGCAATCACCCAGTGATGTCTGGTCTCTGGAATTTCACTCTTAGTACTGACAATGCTCCTGGAACCCATAAAGATTCTGCTAAAATTCAGGGAGTTGAAGGTCAATGTCTTCAGGGAATCAAGGTAACATTTGAAAGGCAATCTCCACCACTGCTGAAGGTAGGCAAATGCCTGGAGCAACTTGCAGAAATAACTCTCTACAATGTTGCTGCTGTACAGAATGGCAGGCCAGCTGTYATCAGAGAGGGTGAGGAGGTGCAAAGATTGAACCATGTTCACATGGTATGTGTGTGTGTTTGCGTGCACAAGCACACACACAAGCCACAAATTTTGGCATGCCCAACTGGCACCCATTTGCAATGCTGAGTCAGGCATTAGGGGAACATGATGTTTGGGGRCAACCATTAATTTGTTCAACAAAGATTTACTCAGCACCTACTGTGTGCCAAGTGTTCTTCTAGATGCTGGGAAATCTAGAGCCAATGAAGTAGTCAAGACTCCCATTTTTATGGGCTCTATACTGTAGGCAGAGTAGACAGGTAATCAACAAATATCAAATGAAATGAACAATTCAGATTGCAAAGAAGATGAAAGGAGGAAAAAGATGCAAACAAACAAAGTGAACGTTTTAAAAAGGAATAAGGGACTGTCTTTGCTCCAAGGTGACACAGAACCTGATAACAGAATGAGAAAGAGCTAAAGAAATCAATCACCTATATTCTGATTTCCATCAAAAGACRAGCTTACTAAAAATTTTATTTTATAATCAAACACGCAATCTCATGTGCGGGCCCCTAACATCCCAGGCTTCAAACAACTGGAAACACCTCAGGAAAGGAAAGGAATCCTCAGCTTTCCCTGTTCTTAAGGGGATTTTAAGAATTCACCTCCCCCCCCCCCCCCCCAAGATGCTAGATTAAAAGCAAATTGTCTTAGTTCTTCTCTACAACAGAATTTACTACAAAAAAAGTGAAAATGGGAGAAATGTAATGCCAGTTACTTTATACAACGATATTCCCAATGTCAATAAAATCATGCTTTTGCATTGTAGTACCAACAGGAATCATTTCATAAAAAAACCAAAAGAATTTGGTAGCTATGTTCAGTGTCATTTACTTTCACTCATAAAATAAAGCCCAACTCTATTTACTAGCAGATATTTTCACTTCCAATATATAATAAACCTTTGAAATTAATTAAAAATAAAATTCTAGCAGCATCTGTTTAACATGCACAAATAATAAATAGTTGCTCACCAGACCCTATATATAAAATACCCCAAACAAATCACTTACTACTAAATTGCCATTAGGGTCCATTAACTCACTTAGCCAACTAACATGAAAATGTCTTAAAATCATCCACTGTTCAAAATACTTTTGAAATACCTTTTTCATTAACGTTTCTTAGCTTATGCCTCCTTTCAGAGTTAGAATTAAGCAGAAGTGAATTAGGGAGTAGAATCGTCATCATGAATATTCAGAATGAATCATGGAACATTTTCACTAAAATGCAGTTTTTATTCCTTTGCAATACAGTAAGTGCAATATTTTGTTGCAATGATAACAAACTAAGGATAAATGATGTAAAAACACTGCCTACCAGGTTTACTTCATCTAATACATTTATYATTATAAAAATTGTTCTGTTCTAGTATGAATGCACAGTACCTGGAATGCTTCATTTCTTTAACTTAAAATAGTCTTTATAATTGAGTCTCATTAGTACCTAAGACCAATTATATGCTGAGGGGAAGGATTTATTTCAAGTATATTTACCAGTTAGACATAGTGTTTGAATCTTCACAAATTCTAAACGTGTGTGGAGAGAGGAGGGTGAAGAGTCTGAACTTGACTGCTCAGGTAAACACTTTCTTTGACTCACGTTTGGAATTGCTATGCTTCAGACCCTTCTTTTAAATTTTCCCATTTGGAGAAAATTATACATTTAGCTTTTAACTGAAAAAAAACAAAAACAAAAACAACCCTCATTCCACACCCCACCCCCAGTCTTCTTAAAACAAATCAGAAGGCTTAAGAATTAGCTCCAATAATAATCCTATAATGGTCATCAGGAAATCCTCCTCCAAAATGACAACTGCAGCTAAGAAGGACGAAATTAACTAGGAATAAAAACTACCCAAATGAATCCTTCCCCAAGAGGTGGGTAATGCACATCTGGAACAACTGGTAACACAACCAACTCGAGATGACCCAGAGGAAGATGCTGCGTCAAGAACAGCAAAGCAAAGAAGCGCGACTCGGAAGTCTTGTAGAATCGCCACCGATTTCCCAAAGAGGTAGAGAGCAGCAGAGTTGAGTCGCCAGGCACTGGTAACAGCGCACGACAGCTCTCAGGGCAATTCTCCATTCCAAATCCCAGAGTTCCGGGGCAGGAGGAAAAAGGGGGACARGGGACCCAAGTCCCTTTAAACTGCACCCCCCTCCCCCGAGCCTGCCAACCTTTTCCGAACCCCCATGTCACACAACTTCCTCATCATGGAAACTTCCACTCGGTTGGGCGCTGAGGATGCCAAACTCCATTTCACAAGGAGCCTGTCAACAACTGGGCTTGGGGTTTGAGGAACAGAGCCGCTGCGAATGAAGGGGGCCCCTAGCCACCCTGCTCSGCCACTGCCCACGCCGTGGCTCCTTGCCTGCAGCCGCGAGGTGGCGGAGCTCGAGAGGGCACCTCCTCCCAGACCCCGGGCGCAGAAACCCCGCGGAGGCAGGTCAGGAGGCGATGACACCCCCGCCCGCCCACGCCTGCCCGCCCGCGCGCGCCCAGCTTTGCCGCCGGCACCCGTCCAGGTTCCTGCGACACCCAGTCCCCACCTTCTGGACGGTGGGAACTGTCGCCCCCTCCTCCGCCTACCCCCCACCCCCTGCCTCCTCCGCGCAGTCCTCTTGCCAAATTACCGGAGCCCTCGAGCCTGTTGGGTTGACCGCCCGAGCCCGGGGAAGGCAGCCTGCGGGCGCTTGCCCCGAGCCCGGGGAGCAGAAGGTCTCCTTTCCAAGCGCACTCACATTATTCATGCAAAGTTAATCCCCGCCGCGTCACGGCCGCCYGCCCGAGGATGTGCGCCTTCCTTGGCCAAGCCCCGCAGTCTCCACCCTCCTCCGCCCCCTCCTCCTGGCGGCGGGGTCCCGGGGAGCTCAGGCGACCGGGCGTCGCGCGACTCTACGAAATGTCAACTCCTTGAGCGAAGAGAGGCGGCCGTAGCCAGGGCCGCTCCAGCCCTCCCCGGCCACTCCACTTTTATAGGCGTAGGAAGCTAGTGTGGCCGGGGACACGGGAGTCCCCGCCTCTCCGGCCCCCCGCGTGCCTGGCCCGCCCYGGCCCGTTCCCCGCTCGCAGCCTTACTCTGGGCTCTGGGTACCGGTTCCGTGCCGGKTGTGCGACCCGTGACCTGGTTTCCCCTGCAGCCCTCCCGGCGGTCCGACTCGCGCGGTGGCGGCGGCGGCGGCCAAGAGCAGGCAAACCGGGCTCCGCCAGGGGCGCAGCGAGGAAATGGCCTCCTAGCCGCACACCCGCCGCCGCCGCCGCCGCCTGCCCGGGCAGCCCGGCTGGTACTGACGCCCCGCGTCGGCTCCGGACCCGTACTCCGACGCGCTCTCAGTGCCCAACTCTCTGACCCCCACCTCAGGCGCTCCACACACACCATCCCGGGGCCAACCGCCTCCGCACCTGCCTCCCCAGGTGCGGGAGCTCCCCCTCCTCCCAGACCCGGCCGTGCCAGCCACCGGGCGTGCCCTTCCAGGGGTGGTGACGTTGCTACGGGTTTAGTGGCCGCACGTCCGCCCACCCGATTGTAGGCACAAGGTTCGAGTTTGGGCGTCATTCCTCTAGTTTCGGAAGAGGAAGGAATGGGGGATGAGTGACAAGTGGACGGGGCGGGGGACTTCTAGGAGCATGGCCTTCTTTGCCYGCCCGACAGGCGCGCCCCGTGCCGCTGCACTCCTTTTTACGCCCCCAAACAACTTGTGGCGCGTGTCGGGACGACACGGAGCTCTCATTGCTCCCRGGGCCTCCCGCTGGCCAGGCCGTCTGGCGGTTTTCATACCCACAGTCACCCTGGGAATGGAAGTTTGGAAAATACCTTGCTAGTGCTTAAGGGAGAAGACCCCCGTATCCCCACCGCCGCCACACACACACAACATTATGCACTCCTGGGCTCTCCTTGTGGTGCAAGGTGGGAACACTCCACACCCCATTAATAATGGGACACCCCATTATTTTGTCTTTGCCCTGGAAATATACAAATAAAACCCAGAGGACAAAAATAATTCATACCCTTGAAGAGTTCTGCCTTGGCAAATAGCAGTTYTAGAATATTTCCTACCCAAGTCCTGAAGGTCAGTGGTTCAGGTTGTGAGAAAAATAAAGCTGCTTCTGAGCTAGGTTGCTTGGAAAAATACCCACTACTCAGACAGCTAAAATGCAACCAGTGCCAAGTTATATTTGAACCAAAATGCTCAGACAACAGAGTTTTATTTTCTTATAAGCAGCATTAAAATAATTTCTACTTCATAATTCAACATACACATTTATTCCTGTAACACACAGTGTAAGAGAACTAGGACAATTTGTATCCTCAACTGTCTGAACAATGTAAAAATTAGTTATTAGAGAGTTTTCTACATTTCCAGCCTGCAACATGTGTTTTATTCCAGCTTCTTCTGAGTGTTCCACAGACAGGGGAGCAGCCACCACCCCTGCTGACAGAATCAGGAACCACAACTGTCAAGTACTCCTTCCCTGTATCTGGATGAACAGGGTTTCAGCCTACTTGGAGAGAGAAAGTTGCAGACCCCAAGACTCTCCCATTAGACTCCACAAGCTCCATTTCCCTTCTATCCTTTGTGAGAAATTTGTGCTTTATTCTTTGCCCTGAAGAAGTCTGCACCATTGAACTTGCCAGCTTCTATAGTGGAGACTTGTTTTTGCAGGGAAGTTCRTGGGCTTTCCTCCCAAGCTGCCCTGGGATATTTTGGATGAATTGAAGGAAAGCCATGCAGTCAGTCCACACCACTGTTCCACACAGGCAGCCCCCTGGTGGCTAACTGTGGGTGGAAATCTGCCTGCTCAAGTAGGCCACATTTACATCTGGGTCTTCTGGTCCTCAAAGGGGCCAAAGGAGTCTAGTGAACAACTTTGTAGTAAGGCGAGATGGTGCCCATCTTCCTTCACATGGTGGATGACCAGCCACAAATCCTGAGGGAACGTCTTACTTTTTCCTTCTTCTGGGTATAACTTGGAGCTATTGATTTTTCTAAATTCTTTCTTAAGAAGGATGAATGAATGTTAACAAAAAACTTGCTTCTTTTTGTTTGAATAGATTGGTCTTTCTGATCTCATTTTGCCTGGAGACTTCTGAAATAAAGAGTTGATGAAGGCTTTATATAAATAACGTGGTGTTATTCGAACAATTCCTGAGACTATGATTCTAACAATGTTATGTAACGAGGCTACTGCAAGGTTATTGAAACAATAGGAACTAATAGGATTCCATTCCAACAGGCTCTCTGAGGGCAGTCTTCCAGACTGSGTGATGCTAAGGGCTACCAACAGAGCATGACATTTGTCTGGTTTTATACAAGGAGGGAGGGTGGAGCAGGATGTCATGAGGATCTGACTAAAGGCAGGACATGTTCTTTAAATCTGAGAGCCCATGGTCCTGTGTCCCACCAAGTGCAGTTGCCTTCTGAGAACATATGACAGATCCATGTCATACTCCACCTTAACCATCCTCATCACCAGAATCTACACATTTCAAGCTGATAAACAGGTTCAAAGAAGTGACCCATTCATATTAATCCTCCAGCAGCTACTGGGGGAAGGAAATGAATGAAACATAGGGCCTAACTTCCGGGGTTTAGGATAAAGTGAAGTCAGTTGTGCAAGAACAGGATCTGAACCTGTTTTTATTTAACATTGGAGATATTGTTCATTGTGGATGGTTATTATATTAATTTTTATTTTTAAAACATTGCACTAAAAATATTTTCTCTCCATTCCTGAGCTTTTTGGCAACCCTTTAAATTTTGTGCCAGAAGTGAGTGTCTTACTAAGCCTGGTTCTGCCATATTGGGTCCTGCACTACTGTCACCAGAGTCTAATCAGAGTAGTGAAGTTCAAGTTGGAGTTTACTGAGTGGAAAAGATGATTAATATGTGTTAAGGGACTTGAGGTATGGGGGATGGAGATGTAGGCATGAGGTGAGGGAAGAGCTCTAAGATTTCCCTGAGGTGTGGCACTGGGACCAGTTCAGCAGGGGCTGACCAGATTTTACTTGGGAGTATGGGCACTGAAGAAGTACCATGTCTGGGGCCTGGATCATTGGTATTTGGTCATTCACTCAACAACTACTTCTCAAGCTGGCTGTACAGTCAAACGAACTAGCCCAAGAGATTCTAATTTTCACTGTTATTCCTGGAACTTATTTTTGCTATGAAAGCACCATTGATTCTGGTCCTAGCAGCTGAATAAGAATGGAAAACCTGGGGCTGAGTTTGTGGCTCAGTGATAGAGCGCTCACCTAGCACGTGTGAAGTCCTGGGTTTGATCCTCAGCACCACATAAAAATAAATAAATAAAATAAAGATATTGTGTCCAACTACAACTAATAAATAAATAAATATTAAAAAAAGAATGGAAAACCTACCTCAGATCTTTAGGAAAGACAGACTCATAGAGAAGACGACAGATTCAAAATTAACTAATTGAAGGGTAAAAGTTCAATAAGAAATTCTCCCTTGGTGTTCCTGGGGCATTGGTTCCAGGACACCTCTGTAGCTCCCTAAATATTCTGATGGTCAAGACCCATATATAAAATGGTGTAGTATTTGCATGTAACCAACACATACCCTCCTTTGTACTTTAATTCATATCTAAACTACTTCTGATATAAACTCTATGTAAGTAATTATTGGACTGTATTGTTAAGGATATAAAGACAATRTTCAATTCAGATGCAATTTTTAATATACCACTTTCTACCTGTGGTTGCTTGAATCTGCAGATGTRGAGTCCAAGGATATGGAGGGCTGACTGTATCAATAGGTATGTGAAATTGTGGCAAAGAGACCAAGATAACTCAGGAAGAATGAGGAAATCAGGTTAGAATTTCTGCAGAAGGTAACTGGGGTTTAACTTCCAGAAGAAGTTGGGGTGGAGGAGGGAAGAAAGACAGAGAGGGCTGTAATATTAACAGGGCACAGTACAAAATGAAAATGTGGGTTCTTTTTTTCTCAAAAAAAAAAAGCAGGGAAAAAATTGCCACAAAATATACAAAACGAACAGCTATTTCCTTTCCCTCTATATTCTATCTTTGAAATTGTCATGGTATTTCTTATTTGCTATTGAATATCATTGTAGGGACAGAAGAATAAATTATTAGCATAATTTTTTTACTGTTCATCCTGACATTGTGCAATGTCAGTTTTAAGGGCAAATGTAATAGCATTTAATTCACAGGAAAAATCAACAAAATTACACTGTTCATATTTTGTAACTTGTATATGCCAGAATTAAACTGTTCCTATTTCACTTCTTGACATGGGCCCAATCCACTAACACTCTGCCTATGGCATGCTGGAAGGTAAGGAAGACCCGAGAGGAATGGGACCTATGGGTCGTTCTTTTTTTTTTTTTTTTCCTTTATTATTTTCAGAATAAATGGTTAGCTAATTCATGGAAGTAACATGAGTAAGAAAGGACACAAAAAGGCTCCTGGGTGATTGTCTTCTTCCTGTGTTTAAAGTATCTGGGTTGAGTGAAAACCATGGCCTCTTTGGGTCAYTGTCAGTATCCATACTTACTCAGTCTTAGATGTGACATGCTTCCTTTGTATATTTACCCTGAATTTGCTAAAGTTTCACACGTTGTGGGTCCTCTRCAATTCTGTGTTCATAAACATTAAGAATATTATATTGTGAGTGGAGCAGTGAAATGATGGTGGACATGCATGTTGAATGTATTTCCTATGTTCACATACACACTCTAGACTTCCCTTATAAAACACTATTTCAAAGACATTCAACAAAGAGCATTCAACAAAATTCCAGTCTCCAAGCACCAAACTGTTCTGAGCTTTGTGCGCCATGAAGCTCTACAGATTACGTGCCCATGAAATGGKTTCCGGGATACCTGACCCTTGACCGAGGTAGAAGCCTAGAACATGCTGGCAGTGCACTACACATGTTGCATAGCTGTCAARAGCAAGGCGTAGGTAATATAG